TTTTGGGAAGAACCTGTCTAATAACTGGCAGCTCCTACAGGGGTAGCTCTACATAAACTGATATCCTGCTGTCCATTGTCTTTAGGATAGAACAATAATCTGCCAACTCTTTATACTAAACATATTACTATATATACATGTTCAGCTGATCTCTTCCATTTTGTGCATGTTTTCAAAAATTTAGTTTTTCTAACGTTCATAACAAATGAAACCTCCCTTCCCTTTTAATAATTTAGTTGCCTATTTTTGTGGCCTTTCCAATTCAAGTCCTCATACAGTTTAATGCTAAGACCTGTACTTCATATTCCAAAAATGGCCTTAAACATGATATTATACAAGGACAACATTGTATTATCTTCCTCAATATACATCTGAAGATTTTATTTGCCTTTGCAGCTGCTTTTTTGCATTGAATTCTGCTTCCGCTTAACCATTATTCTCATGTCCTTCGCCAGTTCTTTTTTTTTTCTCAGCTGTATAGAGGGCAGTATCATTAGCTCAGCCTAGATGCATAACTTTACATTTATAAACATTAAATTTAATCTCACATTTGACTGGCCATGTTGCTGTTATTTCAAGATCATTCTGTAATATGTTCCAATCATGCATGTTCTGCATGTTTTTGTGTCCTAAAGTAGAAGGCAGTATTAGTGGCCCTTCACCATGGAGCCCTAATGCATAAAAAATTCAAATACGCTATAAATATTGTTTTTTTTTCATTTGCATGGTTCCTGGAACTGCCATTATGTTCAGATCAAAGAACAATGGTTTGATCTATACACAAAAGCGCTAATTAAAATACATTTCAACAATTGTTACATTGTAAGAATGTATTTTTGAATGAAGTCTGCTGTCACTGTTTGCAGGATGCATTTATCTAGAAAATGCTGTTGGTGCCAGCATATGACCTGGCTGTCAGATATACTGGCAGTATAGGTGCGCTGACGGGGGCTGAGATGCATAACTACTCCGACCTCCCTTCACCCCCTTTGTCTAGGCCCTTTCTTGCTCCCTCTCTGCCTCAGTAAGAAAATTAAAAGCACCTTGTGACGGAGGGTAGGCAGGACAGAACACACAGAGTAGATGGCAAACGCACAAAGTTTATTGAGACAAACAGATGACAGTCACTTAATAGGGGAATTCGCAGGAAGGGTGAATATGCCAGTAAAGGGCAGCAAGGAGGAGCCAACACACTTATAGTCCAACACAGAGAGCCAAGGAAGAGTCTCTGTAGCAATTGTAATCCAACAGGGGGGGGTGGTGAGTCTCTGTAGCAATTGTAATCCAACAGGGGTGTGGGGGGTCAGCACAGAAACAGTTCAAGTAAAACAGGGAGAGTGCATGTACTCACTGATCCGACAGGGTGCCTGGTCTCCCACTAAGGGTCTCTGGAGCTCTGGCAGCTGGCAGGCAAACTCGCAATCTCTCCCCTAGGCTGGGGGGTCTCTGGATCCCTGGCAGCTAGCAGGCAGTCTTGCAGCCTCTCCCCTAGGCTGGGGGGTCTCTGGATCCCTGGAGGCTAGCAGGCAGTGGCTGGGGGTCTCTGGATCCCTGGCAGCTAGCAGGCAGTCTAACCCTGCTCTGGGGGGTCTTAGGCAGGCTTGGGTCTCTGCAGAGTCTGGCCATGAAGGTCCCACCGCAGCTGGGGCTCCTTCAGTGGCTGCACAGTGGTGAATACCCCGGGAGTGCCCGGCATCAGCTTCTTAAACTGATGTCAGACACTCCCTGGTCACCTAGGCAACCGGGGTGGGTCGGAGCTGGCGTGCCTCGTTGCCTGGCAACGAGGCACGCCCCCTGGACAGGGGCCGTGCCTCTCATGAGCATGGCTTTGTCCAGGGACATCCGCAAGTGCGGGAACTTCCCATGCCCCCGCTGCGGATGACAGGGCTGAAATGGTGTCAGCGAGACGCCGTAGCCCAGAACATCTCTGCAGGGAGGTTCACACCTCCCCGCGGTTGGAGAGGGAGGAGATAGTGGCAGAAGTGGGGAATGCTGCACGTCTCATCCCACTGCGGTGGGATGAGAGGTGAAGGGGGGGCCACTGGACCACAGGGATGAAAGCGGCATATCGGGCTAAAGACAGGGGACACAGTGGGGGGGGCCAGGATGACACTGGACCCCCCCCCCCGGGACATCAAAGGGGCCGATGGAGGAAGCAAGTTAGGGCAGTGGAGGTCAGGCAGCCAGCTGGCTGGGGGGGGGCGGGAAGCCACCGTGATGGAAGTTGGCCATTTGGCAGGGGTCCCTATACCGTGACACACCTCCATATAATGTAATTCCTGCAGGTACTTATATAGCGCCATCAGTTTATGCAGCACTTTACATATATATTGGAGATTTACATCAGGGGCCCTCAAGGAGCTTACAATCTAAGGTCCCTAACTCATATTCATACATACACACACTAGGGCCAATTTAGACAGGAGTCAATTAACATGCCAGCATGTCTTTGGAGTGTGGAACCAAACCCACGCAGGCACAGGAAGAACATGCAAACTCATACAGCTAGTGCCATGGTTGGGATTCAAACCGATGACCCTAGTACCTGAGCAGAAGTGGCCACTGTGTAGTAAAGAAAATTGTGAAACTGGCAGAAGAAACATACACATGTCATGACATCTAGGGAGGGTAATTTTTATACAGTGGCATTTTATTCTATTCAAAGAAAGCAGTCTGTAAGCTGTGTACAGGCAAGGATCCCTTAAAATATATTGGGCTTGGGCAGTAGCCCGCTCCAACCAGCGTAAATTCTCAGTATCAGTTATTTTCCAGTCTTATAGATACTGCGTTACAATCTTGTTGAAAATGTTAATACTAATTTCTAGCCGTCTCTAAGAGCTGATTCACACATATGTGGTGCAGATTGAAGCTCAAGTTTCACAGCTAATTGATACAGTGGTTGTTCTCAGGTTTACATCAGGTTCAGGACAGGATTAGCTCAGGATTATCCTGTTCACACATATGCTGTTTAGAAATGGTTCCCATAAAAGTCAATTTATCAGACTATCGCCTACTCTGCTCACTTTTAGGCGATCTCCGAAAACCTATCTCTTGAGGGAAGCCTATCCTGCCCTCAGCTAATACTGGAATCTTCTACTCTTCCAACCAGTTCATCCCCCACAGTTACTACCTTTTGTACCACTAGCCCCTCCCTCCTAGATTGTAAGCTCCAAGGAGCAGGGCCCTTCTAACCCTGTTGTATTGAACTGTATTGTCTCCCGTTATATTGTAAAGCACTGAGCAAACTGTTGGAGCTATATAAATCCTTTATAATATTATAATAATAATAATAATAGCCTGTAATCCACACCTGAACTGGACACACTGCTCAGAAACTGGACATGACTCTTTTTAAAACTACATTGCATCAACCACACCTCTTTTTAAAACCACACAAACCTCAATGCACCAAGTGAAACAATGTCAGTGCACACATGGTTTCTTTGACTACTGTGAAGTAAAGATGTTATCCATAAACTGATCATATGGATTTAGGCATAAAGCTGGCCATACATTATACAATTTTCTTATTCAATTTTTTTAAAATTTATCTTCAACTATGTAGTGCAAGGACCTGCCTGATTGCAAAAGTGTTTAGGTTTGACCTCGTGTCTGGTTTTGGTAAATCTACAGAAAAAGCGTACAATACAATTGTATAATGTATGGGCAGCCTTACTTTTTACAAAATTAGAACTAGTGTACACTAGCGTTAGCCCTCTAAAGAGCAATTTGCAGTGGATTGCTTTAAAAGGAGTGTTTGACGGTCCACGAGCCATTATGCTGCCTCCTCACTGCCTGTTTTCAAGCACTAAAAGGCCTCACTTCTGCTCCAAAAGCGCATTATTCACAGTTACAAAGCATTTACGGCATGACCGCAGTCAGTTGTTTGAGGATGGGACTGCCCGCTGAATGTGACAGAGGGTCTAATTCTTACCATGAGACGAAGCATTGTGGCTGTGACCTGTGTACAACCTTATCAGCTGCCCTTGCAGGGGAAATCCCTTTAAGGGGGAACGGTCGGAGGGCAGGAAAAACATGGCCGAACCGCGTGTTTTTATTGCTCCTGAATAGCAAGTGTAAACATGCCCTTAGAGTACATTCCAAATGGCACAGGTTACAGAAAGAGGAAGAAGGAGCCAGAAACAGAGGAGATGACAGAGAGATTCTTACATTGCATAGTATTAGGCCTCATTTCCATGGGATTTTCTTGCCAGCTGTATTTGAGCAGCTAAATGCACAACTGGATGCAGATAGTTGTGACCGCTCATCATGTACAAGGCAATGACAGGCTGACAGCAGCCAAAGTTGTCTGTGGATATTTAAATAAAATCGACATGGAGTGATTACCTGCTATTACAGACAGATAATTGCCCCGGATGCAAGCTGTTTGTTCCCAGGGTGATCATCTGTCCCTAACTGCAGGTAATTACTGCATGTGCTATTACAACCGAACACATGAGGATGACTGCTGTCAGGTTGTCATTGCTTTTTACAAGCTGAGGAGCTGCAACTGTCTGCATCTACCTTATGCAGTTGGCAATACGATGTGGTGTGAATGAGGCCCTAATCAGAAACTACAGTAGGGGATAAACTAGAAAAACTAAAATCCTGAGAAAGGATAGCCATTGTCTTTTAAATATGTGCTAGGAGTAAACTCTGAACTCTAATGAACTCTGAAGGAAAACACTGTACACTGAGTCACTTAGTCAGGTTGGACATGTTTGGATTAAGAGCAATGTAACAAAAGGGTAATCTTAGTTCTCTACCTTTATCTACAGATCTGCACAGTTCAGAGCTGACTGGGTCTGATTCTAACCACTAGCCTACAGGGCACTTATACCCCCTTCCTGCCCAGGCCAATTTCCAGCTTTCAGCGCTGTCACACTTTGAATGACAATTGTGCGGTCATACAACACTGTACCCATATGACATTTTTATCATTTTTTTTGTGACAGATAGAGCTTTATTTTGGTGGTATTTAATCACCTCTGGGTTTTTCGTTTTTTCTTAAACAAACCAAAAACCACTGAAAATTTTGAAGAAAAAAAAAGTTTTTTCTTAGTTTTTGTTATAAAATTTTGTAAATAAGTGATTTTTCTTCTTCACTGATGTGCGCTAATGAGGCTGCACTGATGGGCACTGATAGGCTGCACTGATGGACACTGATAGGAGGCACTGGTAGGTGGCACTGATGGGCATTGACAGGTATCACTGATGGGCACTGAAAGGCAGCACTGATATATGGCACTGATAGATGGCACTGACTGGCACTGATAGGTGACACTGACTGACAGTGTTAGGCAGCACTGATAGGCGGCACTGATGGGCACTGATAGGCGGCACTGACTGGCACTGATAGGTGACACTGATTGGCAGCACTGATAGGTGGCACTAACTGGCATTGATAGGTGGCACTGACTGGCACTGATGGGAGACACTGAAATGTAGCTCAGATGGGCACTGATATGTGCCAGTGATGCGGCACTGATGGGCACTGTAATCTGGCACTGATGGGCACTGGCAGGTGGCATGGATGAGCACTGAGAGCTGGCACTGATGGACACTGACAGGTGGCACTGCTGGGTCTACACAGTGCTCTGATGATGTGTAGATGTCCCCTCCGAGGAATGCCAATTACCGGCTCTCCTCTCGAGCTGCCAGCGTGACAGCTCATGGGGAGAGAAATGCCGATAACCGGCATTTCCCTGTTTACATGTGATCAGCTGATCACATGACCGAGCTGACATCTTCGGCTCTTTCCATTGATCGGTGATCCGCTGTGTCCGAGGGACACCGCCGATCGCCGCGCTGCGCACCCCCGGAGCCGCGCATATGCGGTTAGAATGGGAGGACGTCATATGACATCTTCCCAGAACGAGAGAACCACCTTGCGCCCGTCATATTACTATATGGCGGTGGGAGGCGGTTAAAGAACCAAAAACCACTGACATCTGCATATTTGCAGAGCAGACTTAACCCTCCCAAAAGTACCTTACAAAAAAATCAACTGGCTTCTAAAACCAGATCAGTCAGCATTAGCTGCTTACGAGTAGGTTTTTATTATTTTATTTATTATTACAGGTACTTATATAGCGCCGTCAATTTACGCAGCGCTTTACATATATATTGTACATTCACAGTGCCTAACCCTCAAGGGGCGTACAATCTAAGGTCCCTAACTTACATTCATACACATACTAGGGCCAATTTAGACAGGATCCAGTTAACCTACTAGCATGTCTTTGGAGTGTGGGAGGAAACCGGAATACCCCAAGGAAACCCACGCAGGCACAGGGAGAACATGCAAACTCCAGGCAGGTGGTGCCGTGGTTTTGATTCAAACCAACGACCCTAGCATTGCCAGGCGGAAATGGGTTGCAGCCATTCCTCTTTAAATCCTAGTCAGGATCATACCTGCTGATATCAAGAAAATTCCTGCTGTTCGGTCCATTTTGCAGGTACTTTTGGGGATCCAGCCTAATACAGGTGTATTTTAGGTCCACTGACTGCTTCAAAGGACTGAGTGTTAGTATGTCAATGACATCATATCATAATTTAACCACCTCTGTGGTAGCCTAAATGCCATATCTGCATGTTTAAGAAACTCAACCAAATACTTGACCACAACAAATAAAGCTTTGTGGCCACTAGATTTGACTTTTTTTCTTGTTGATGTGATATTGTATGCAGAGTGTATACCTAGCTATTTTCTGATTCCTGGATTCACACTATTGTTAACATGCGGTGGTAATTGATAACACACAGCAACGCAAATGAATGCACTCGTGTGTTTTGGGTTGCGCTGAGTTGCTAAAATGGTGCATGCACTTTTTTTTATGCGTTCTGGGGTGTTGTGCAGCTATTTCAAATTAATGGGGTGCCTTATTTCAACACACGACTTATTTGCATGCCTTTATGCACCACACAGATGTGAATGGGCCAAAGAAAAAAGAATTAGGACTGTTTTCCAGCAATGGATACAGGATGTATACTAGCAACAATGGTCCAATTTTGGTGTGATGCAGAATATTTAAAAGAAACAACATTATGCTTTGTGACAATACAGTACATTTTATAAAGTTCAAGAGTTGTATTTCAGTATAGCAACATAAACCATTATGAATTTGCCTGTTTACTGGCTTTCCAGTCTTTGCCAGTGGAAAATGTTAGTTTTTGACATTGCCTTTCATATGAGAATTTGTGTACAATGCTGGACCATAAATTTATTCATACTGCAGGGCATAGAAAAGCAAATCATGCTTAAATAATACTAAGCAAAACAATTGGTATTCCCTAGGGGGGACAGCGCTCTTTGAGAGTGTTTATTAGGTCTTTCCTTCTTGTAGCTCCTCCATTCTATTACCTTTCCCTCCAAGGGAAAGCTGTAGATGTACTGTGCCATCGTTAATTTCTGCTTGAGACTTTCTAAAAATACAGAACTCTCAATTCGGTACAAATGTGCAGAAAATTGCAAATGACTGAAACTAATAAACTTTAAGCATCTTCTTAATGCATAATTACTTTGATATTTTGTAGGAAAAAGACCATATTGATGAAGTAAAAATGTCCATAAATTGGTCAATAAACCTAACCACATACCCTTGCCAATCTGATGATTTCTTTCCCTCTTTTTCTTACTAAATAACAATGTACGGCAGTGCCATCTAGCATGTGGCCATGCTTAGCCTTAATTGTTGGGAACTAATTTGGGGCCTTCAAAGCTGCAAAAAAAAAAACCCCCAAAGTTTGCCTAAAAGATAACTATAATGTTATCCAATAAAAGTTGACCCCCCTCTCCCCTCAAACACGTTTTTCCTATATCTGTACTTTTCACTGAGATCTTTGGTATGCAGCTACTCCATGAAAACTATTAGTGGGTGTTGCCACACATGCACAGGAATAATTTCCATTTATATAGAACTGCTTAATTTGCCTACGCGGTACTCTGAAAAAAAAAATTTTTTTGGAAAAATAAGTTTAACGCACTCTTCAGTTATCTGAAACAATGGGCAGCACATGATCCAACAAATGAATTCGGTTAGATGGACAAAACTCAAGAAGGACAAAACTCAGGAAGATTACAAATACAAAACAGGCTTAAAAAAAAAACAAAATGGAGAGCATGCCATGGGTAAGCACTTATCAAAGACAAAATTTCCATCCAAATGAAATCCTAGAGAGTTAAAGGCTTGAAGATGAATTAGTAAGAATCCAAAGCTGACTTAATATCAGCTTTAGCTAACAAAGAATTTTTACCCAAAGGTCTGATCTTAGATAATGCTTCTTCAAAAGTAACATAAGAAACTGAAGCTAGCTCAACACTTATTTCATCATTTAGAGATCCTGCTTTCGAGAAGGACGAATGATGTATAATTCTACAAGTATTAGGCTCCTGCTTTGGCATAATCCCCAATGGTGATAAGTGAAAACTGCTGAAAGGCGAACTGTAAAAAGGACAAGCCACCCGCCCTTCAGCAATCTCCTTATATTTTTTTTTTTCCTGACTACATGCTTCAAACTATCAACAGATTTTAAATAATAAACCTCAGAACACCCAAAAATTGGTAACCTAAGGGCCCCATTACACCATAGCACTACAGTGTCATGCCTTGCTGCAACACACAATAATGTGCATTGTGTGGTGCCCTTCATTCTGAATAGCACATCAATGCACTTTGTCAACACACATGTAGTTTAGCGCACAACATGCAGTAATGCACTACTGTGCATTGTACTGCGCTACAGAAAAAAATGCATGCACCTTCCATTTTAGTGGGTTAGGCAGCCCATTCAAATGAATGGGCAGCATTACCAAAGCCCACGTTAACTCACTCATGCTCATTTGCTCAAGGAGCACTATAATTTGAATGGGCCCTAAACATGTATCACAACCCTCAGTAGCTAAGTCATCTGCTTGTCTTGATAAGCCTGTAGCCATCACAGCATTCTTTCCACATTTACCAATGCCTAAGTCTCTATAGCAAAAATCATTTTTCTTTTTAATAAGCTAACTTTTTTAGTCAGTTTTCCTTCCAGGTTCACGGGCTCTGGCCATTTGAATGGCCAAATCACAAATCACATCACTTCCGCGCAGGGGCGGACTGACCATTTGGAAAATCAGGCACTGCCCGAGGGCCCGGGGTCAGTAGGGGGCCCCATGAGATGCCCCTGGTACCTTTTTCATAGGCTTTTTTGAGTTTGGGCAAGGACACAGGGGCCCCATGATCCCCTATTGCCCGGGGGCCCCATGAGTTGTCAGTCCGCCCCTGCAGGTTCCGCGCATGCGCCCAAGAATAATGGTCATGGCACAGACCTCTCGGTTGACGGCATATTCACTGTGCCCTCAGTTAATAGCACAGTGCACATGCGCTAGTGATGTCACCAGCTGCAAAACATGAGAATATCTCCTAAACAGTGCACATTTAGGAGACATGAATTTTACCCACAGGAAATATATAAATGAAATCCGTGAGGTTACCTCATTGGTATCACCCTCTTGCAATCCCTGTACAGCGAAACTTGCAATCCCTGTACAGCGAAACTTGCAATCCTGTACAGCGAAACTTGCAATCCTTGTACAGCGAAACTTGCAATCCTTGTACAGCGAAACTTGCAATCCTTGTACAGCGAAACAATTGCGAAATGCCTTGTACAGCGAAACTTGCAATCCTTGTACAGCGAAACTTGCAATCCTTGTACAGCGAAACTTGCAATCCTTGTACAGCGAAACTTGCAATCCTTGCTTGCAATCTCTGTACAGCGAAAAATCCTTTACAGCTGTACAGCGAAACTTGCAATCCTTGTACAGTGAAACTTGCAATCCTTGTACAGCGAAACTTGCAATCCCTGTACAGCGAAACTTGCAATCCCTGTACAGTGAAACTTGCAATCCCTGTACAGCGAAACTTGCAATCCCTGTACAGCGAAACTTGCAATCCTTGTACAGCGAAACTTGCAATCCTTGTACAGTGAAAAATTTTACAAATGCAATCTTGTACACGAAACTTGCAATCCCTGTACAGCGAAACTTGCAATCCCTGTACAGCGAAACTTGCAATCCTTGTACAGCGAAATTTGCAATCCCTGTACAGCGAAACTTGCAATCCTCTGTACAGCGAAACTTGCAATCCTTGTACAGTACAGCGAAACTTGCAATCCTTGTACAGCGAAACTTGCAATCCTTGTACAGTGAAACTTGCAATCCTTGTACAGCGAAAACTTGCAATCCTTGTACAGCGAAACTTGCAATCCTTGTACAGCGAAACTTGCAATCCTTGTACAGTGAAACTTGCAATCCTTGTACAGTACAGCGAAACTTGCAATCCTTGTACAGCGAAACTTGCAATCCTTGTACAGCGAAACTTGCAATCCTTGTACAGTGAAACTTGCAATCCTTGTACAGTGAAACTTGCAATCCCTTGTACAGCGAAACTTGCAATCCCTGTACAGCGAAACTTGCAATCCTTGTACAGCGAAACTTGCAATCCTTGTACAGCGAAACTTGCAATCTCTGTACAGCGAAACTTGCAATCCTTGTACAGCGAAACTTGCAATCTCTGTACAGCGAAACTTGCAATCCTTGTACAGCGAAACTTGCAATCCTTGTACAGCGAAACTTGCAATCCCTGTACAGCGAAACTTGCAATCCTTGTACAGCGAAACTTGCAATCCTTGTACAGCGAAACTTGCAATCCTTGTACAGCGAAACTTGCAATCCTTGTACAGCGAAACTTGCAATCCTTGTACAGCAAAACTTGCAATCCTTGTACAGTGAAACTTGCAATCCTTGTACAGCGAAACTTGCAATCCTTGTACAGTGAAACTTGCAATCCTTGTACAGTGAAACTTGCAATCCTTGTACAGTGAAACTTGCAATCCTTGTACAGCGAAACTTGCAATCCTTGTACAGCAAAACTTGCAATCCTTGTACAGCGAAACTTGCAATCCTTGTACAGCGAAACTTGCAATCCTTGTACAGCGAAACTTGCAATCCTTGTACAGTGAAACTTGCAATCCTTGTACAGCGAAACTTGCAATCCTTGTACAGCGAAACTTGCAATCCTTGTACAGTGAAACTTGCAATCCCTGTACAGCGAAACTTGCAATCTCTGTACAGCGAAACTTGCAATCCTTGTACAGCAAAATTTAAAAGAGGGGGGAGTCTGAAGCAGAATACACAATCAGGTGTGTTGTGGTGCATGAGGTTGGGAGGACAGAATGACAAAGATTAGCTCATCCGTTTTCATGTCACTGTCTAGTCACAGGCTGGGAGTAGAAGACCTGTAAGCAAAATTGAAACTGCAGCAGGGAGAGATCTGGTCCCTTCTCCTGCCACACTGACTATACTGTGCGGCAGAGTTGTGTAAATCTGGCTGGATGGACAAAAATAAAACCCCAAAAGATGTTTGTGAATAGCAGCTGTACATAGTTGTTTCATGTGTAATTGGTTGAACATCCGTCCCTAGCCGCAGCTAACTTGGATTTTCAAACAACAAACGGTCTGCTGCGGCCATTGTCAGCCTGTTATTGCTTTGTATAGACTGAGCAGTCGCAGCTATTTGCAAACACCTGTCTTTCTAACTGCAGGAAGCCGTTTGTTCTTGCTGCCTGAATTTACAAGTACCTGTTTGTATTAGAAAGCTCGCAGTCTTTCAAGTTCGGCTGCCATAGAAAATAAAGGGGAAAGAGCTTTGATTTTGGTGCTTTTGTTCTGAAGATGCATTTCCCCATAATGCATATAGCTAGAGGTCATTCAGGGCTTGTTAAGGCTAAGTTGAGCTGCCGTGTTTGCATTAAACATTTGCTACATACTTAAATAGTTAGTCTGCCTGAAAAAAGACAAAAGTCCATCCAGTTCAACCAAAAAAAAAAAAACCCCGTTATAATCCTATACTCACAATTGATCCAGAGGAAGGCAAAAAAACCCCCAGCAAAGCATGATCCAATTTTCACCTGCAGGGGAAAGAAATCCTTCCTGATCCCCCGAGAGGCAATCGGATATTCCCTGGATCAACTTTACCTATAAATGTTAGTATCCAGTTATATTCCGTGTATCTAAGAAAGAATCAAGGCCTTTTTTAAAGCAATCCACTGAGCTGGCAGGAACCAACTCTTGAGGGACTCTATTCCATATTTTCACAGCTCTCACTGTGAAGAAACCTTTCTGTGTTTGGAGATTACATTTCTTTTCATCCAGACGTAAAGTGTGCCCCCTTGTCCTCTGTGATGACTTCAGGGTGAATAGCTCTACACCGAGTTCACTATATGAATCACTGATGTATTTATACATGTTGATCATATTCCCCCCTTAATCTCCTCTTCTCAAGAGAGAATAAATTCAGTTCCTCTAATCTTTCCTTATAGCTGAGCTCCTCCATGCCTCGTATCAGTTTGGTTGCCCTTCTCTGTACTTTCTCCAGTTCCCCAATGTTCTTTTTGTGAATTGGTGCCCAAAACTGAACTGCATATTCCATATGAAGTCTTACTAATGATTTGTACAGGGGTAAAATTATATATCTCTGTTGTAATAAAGGAACTACTCCAAACTCTCAAATTTTTGTAGTCCTCAACAGGTCTATAAGAAATCTAAATCTACATTTTGTAGCATAGATGTTCATTTATTTTTTCCTCATTACATAATAAACCATAAATGCCTGCATTAAACGACTATTGGCTGTGTGGACTGCTTTTGTACACAGTTTGTCTGTGTCACTCCTGATCATCAGCCTGTTATGAGCTGTTTCTGTCATTGCTCCATTACCTGTCTGGGAATCTGGACTCTAAGATCTGTTTGTCTGTGGCTGTTCTGATCATCAATCCACTGACAGTTTGCTATTTACTCTAACCATCTGTCAGTAGATTTACACTGCTCTAGCATCTGTCTTGCCACATAGTTGGCTGTCTGCCCTGGTGACACATTGAATCCACTAAACTCCTAGACACATGCAGATTCTTATTCATCATGCTGTGGTGTCCAAAAGGCATTTGATTGGTCCCAGCTTCATTCTTTAGCATGACAATGACCCCAAACGCCTGGACAAAACCATAAAGTGCTATGGTAGTGGAAAGAAAACCAATGAATTGTGCAACAACAGATGGTATGTCCCCCATAGGGCTTGATTACCAAGCCAATCTGGAATAGCTTGCAGGGATATAAGGAAGTATGACAGGCAAAGTCTTTGGCAGATCTGTGATAAGTTATCCAGAGTGCGATGGTGTAAACGGTCCCTTAGGTTACCAGAGTTCCTGGAGATTTCATTCAAAAAGACAATATTTATTTTAAATAAACTAAAATTAAACTATTCAAGTGCCTAGTTTTGCACAGAGTGTGTGTGTTTAATAATGTAAATAATGTATGTGTGAAATAAATACACAGGTAATGTTTCTTTTTTTTTGCATTGCAGATTTTTCCAGTAGATCTAAATCAGCTGTATATGTGGTTATGAATAACTGCTAAGACATGATTGCCCCAGTTCCTGATAATGGCAGAGCGCATTCAAATTTAGTCAAATGAGGCAGGGTATAGGTCATTATCCAGGATACAGTGGAAACACAAATTTGTTTAAAGAATTATTATACATTATGTGATAAGCTCTGCCATGCAAATTGTTCAGTGCCCCGGAATTCAATGTTATGCTCTGTCAAAGAAACAATCTTGACATTTTCAATTGAAATTCATTATTAGTATTATCAGTTTGCTGCGGGCTTAGTTTTATCTTTCTTAGATCTATTGGATCTTTGTGCTGCCATTCAGCTTTTTATAATTCAACCTTGCCTCCTTGTCTTACCTTTTGTTATTGTACTCCAAATATTATTAACTGCTTCCCGACTGCCCTATAGCAAAAATACTGCTATAGGGCAGCACGGGTGCACAAAATCACGTATATATATGTGATTTTGCATAACTGGGTAGGGGGTGCACGCTGCCATTCGCGGCTGCAGCTGTCAATCACGGGGTCCGGCCGGTGATTACTCGCCGGCGCCCGGTGACTGCCGAACATTTCCGACAGGGAGGAGAACTGTTTGTAAACAAAACAGTTCTCCCTGTCAGCTCCTGCACACTGTTGCGGATGGCTTTGCAAAGCAGTGTGCTTACAGTGAAGCCCACGGTCAGAGCTTATAGTAAAACAGCACACAGTTAACCCTTTGATCGTCCATCA